GCCATATTCCTACTGATCCGCTTCTTTAGAGAAGCAAACTTTGAACTGTATAGGGGAAGCACTGACACAGTGATTCCCTACTTATTTGCAAATAACAACGTTAATTATGCCAGGTGGCTTCCAATTCATCTCATGAACATGATGTCCTTGAAGCAACAGCACCCAGAAGTGCCCAGAGGACAAAGGAAACTGTGTTGTACACACGACTAAAAGAGAGTTATCTGCCTTGGCCATTGACCAAGCCAATGGGCAAAACAATGCAGTCATTAAAAGTGACGGAGGAGCAATTGAACTGACTGAGGACCCAGGGGGATTCATGGGTGAATGGTGAGTCGCCTGGTTTCTAGCTATGAGACCATTTCCAGTGTGAAAAATGCAGCTTTCACCACCAAACATCATGAGCAGACTTCAATAACCCAAAGGTGTTTTCTTGAGAAGATAAAAGCACTGCAAACAGTACTGAAGGAGTTGTCTAACCCCTTCCAAGAAATGTCAGCAGATTTACTGGTGCTAGACACAAAGAACATTGCAGATCCAACCTTTGCTGAATTGGTTCACACACATCATGCCAGATGAAAACAGCAGTTCCAGTCATTCATGGGAGGCTTGGGGAAATAGGGGGAATGTTCATTCTACCACCCAGTTAAGAAGAACAAGGTGTCTTTCTTCAAACATGAGCAGGCTGCTAGAAGTTCAAAGGAGAAAGTGCTGAAAGATAACTGCCAGCTAACAAACTGGGGAAGTTTTCTGCGGGATGACAGCAACAAGACAAAGCTGTTTAAAAATGTTTGCAGAACAAATGTGTGAGACTGACACAGAAAGCACTGTTATCGTGACAAAAGGAGTTGATGCCATCAGCAACAGAAGGGAGTTCTTGGATAGTGTGGCCTCATGTTCTCATGAAGAAGCTGATACTAGAATGTTTGTGCATGTCAGGAACGCAACCCTAGAAGGCAGCAAGTCTCTTATCATAAAAGCCAGTGACACTGATGTGGTCGTACTAGCAGTGTCATCACTGCCATACCTGCAGGAGCTTGGTCTTGAAAGCATGTGAATTGCTTTTGTTTCTACAATAGGGCCCAAGAAATCCAGTGGGATGCTATACTTCCATGCTTTCACTGCATGTGATGCTGCTTTCTGTGGTACAGGAAAGAAATCAACATGGCTGACATGGGATGTCTGCAAGGGAAGTGTCTGACACATTCATAAAAACTCATTCACTGCCCGAGAGAAGTGTCTGATTGTGACCTTCAGAAGCTAGAAACTTTGTTGTTTTCATGAACATGTGTGACATGTCCCGTGCTGCTGCCGGTGTGAACGAGGCAAGGTTGGATCTCTTTGCCTGCAAACCGAGGTCAATATGATTCAATCCTACCAACCAGGGCTGCCCTTATGGTACATGCAAAGCGTGCTGCCTACCAGGATGGAATCATCTAGGTCAGGCAACTATTCAAAACCCCAAAATCAACAGCCCTAAATGGGAATGGACATGGACAGGAGAGACATGGCAAGTATGTTGGTCAACTCTTCCACCAGTCGCAAAAATCTATCCGGAACTGACCATATGCTCTTGCAAGAAAGGCTGCAAATGTTTTGCTCAGGACTCTCCTGCACTGCTCTTTGTAGTTACGTGTGTGAGCAGTAAGGAATAGGACAAAATTCCTCATTATTTAAAGTTTGTATAATGCTATTACATGTCAAGGCGCCAGTTTTAAGGTGTTTTACTATATGAATTGTTGTGTTTTGTTGTTATTATTGTTAAGGTTGGAAAACTAGAAAAAATGAATTAAGCATGCTATAAACCATAGGCATTGACACAATGTTCACTTAATTGAAAAAGGACAAAATTCTCCATTATACAGTATTATTGGCAACTTTTACATAATTTTACATAAATAATCTGTAATATGGTCAATAATTGTTTCTTTTTGGTGTCATTATTTCAGTAATCTGATCTTCAAAAAGTTTACTATGTTATAAAGTAACACAACTTAAAAATAACAAAATAAACTAAATTGAATATGTGTATTCTGTTATTAATTTGTCATTTACTGGCACAACTGGTACTCTGAAGATTGTAAAGCTAGAAAAATTCGGTTCAGCTTACCAAAAACCATATATATTGACACCAAGATCACTCCAATTGACCAAGTACGTCCCTGTAAGTGCGAAAAACCCTTATCTGGAGTCCCATCTTGGAATTTGAGTGGGATTTTTTAAGTATCCCCTTAGAAGTTACTATGCCAAATTTGGTGCTTTTATCACCATTTGCACGATTTTTCTCTTATATTCCACAATATTAATGCATTTCTTTGTTTCGTTCAAATAATGAGTGCCAGGTCATTTATAATTTGATGGTTGTTTGCCCTATAAGTTAAAATTGACTCGAATTAGCATAACTTCACAATTCACCCAAGAGTTGAAATATCTTAGCCTCAAGTGAAGCAAATCTCACTACATTTTGAATAACATATATGTATGAAAGGCCAATATATTTAGATATTTTGTTAAAAGTGAACCTTACGCTCTTATTGTCATTTTAAGGAAGCAAGGGGGGAAACACACGTCATAGTTTAATTGAGATTAGGACTTTCCTCGCAAGTTACTAAGCATGTAGTTATGGCAATGTATACGTTTTCAGAAAGCTGAGATATAGCAGAATACAATCATGTATGTTCCGTCTTGGTATTTGCTCAGGGGATTAAGCTACGATCGTTCCCATAAACCTCTTAAACATAGAGTTTTTGTGGGATTGGCAGTTTCTCGGTGTTCCTTTTTTCTATGTTTATAATATTTTCACTGTTGCTTTATAAGATAATGATCTTTGAAAATGCGTCTCGAAATTGCCATGTGCCCCATAGTTCTGGAGATAAAGTCCGTTGAACTTTATGGAATACATTTTATGATCGTCTCCATGTTCTCAAGGCCGTAACTCAACGTCAACGTCTCACATAAACGTCCATGAGACATCATATTTTAGCCCATTTTGTGGCGAATAGATTGTATAATTTGTACATCGTTAGCGCAGAGAAAAATGTTAAAAGATGACATCTTCAATAGTAATGATAGTCAAAAAATGGTTTTCGTAAAAACTCAATGAAATAAACAGCTAATTATTGACCACATGTCTAACATTTCGATCATACTTTGTAAATGTATAAGTATCTGATCTGCGTGGACTGTTACATCGTGAAAACTTGGTTGGTTGTTCTTTAAAAAGTGACAAAACTTAACAGTTTCATCGAAAGTAGGTGCTAAATTGAACAAGAAGTCCCTCTGTTATGTTGAACAGCGTCAACAGTACAATCGGTTTTCTAAACACAGGGTGGGCCATCACTAGGGACAATATTTTGCTCAGAACTTTTGTTGTTAGAGTCGATTGGCTCGTCTTCAAACCACTCTGCGGGCTGGCTGTAATATGAGCACAGGTCACTTTCATTTAGATATCTTTTAACGGCGTCGAAAATTTTTCGGCGGCCATTTTTTTTCAATTCGGAACTCCTTCCCGTGATATATTAGTGTTATTAAAACACCGTCAAAAAAAAGCTATAGCGTAATGTTTGTCTGTGCTTCGATCGCGTAACGAACACTACTTATGGATTACACAGGATATAATAAAGTCAGATGGTCAAAAAATCAGTATGCAAATTAAATCCTTCATGAAGGACGCGTTCACCCACAACTAGACTTCCGGGAATAAACTGAAATTATGCAACAAAAGCATCGTAAATTTGGACCAAAGATTAAAAAATTATACAATATAATGTTTCATAATTCGATTTTTTTGAAAAATGTTTTTTTTCTAGTTTTTTTTTTCTCGCTACCTTAAATAATTTTAGTGATATGATAAAATAGTTTCGGCGAGTCTAATTTATTGGAACTACGACTGTATGGGATTCTAACAAATCTGGTTCAAAAGAAGAAAACAAAGTTCAAACATGGATAATGTACACATATTTTTGAGATAAAATATTCTACATAGATACTGTAGTTTGAATAAAAGTCTTGAAATCTTGAACATGATTTTTAAAGTAAAACAATAGTAAGATTTTGTTTTCCAGATGAGCGTCAGCGTGAGT